AAGGAAAGGGCCAAATTGGCCCTTTTTTCATTTTTCTGGGGGCCATCTCTGATTGTAACGCGGGATTCCCGCAATGGCGCGCTCTGGCAGAAACACTGAGGACAGTACAGTTTTTCCTGCCTGCTGAATCCTGATGGGCCAATTCAAATTTCAGGTGCACCAGCCATATGCAAGGTTATTATTTTACCTTTGTTTTAACAATACAACCAATAAAAATTAATGCATGATACAAATTAACACAAGAACCATTTCAACAGCAAGTATTGAAGGTATAAGTACATACCTCTTACTAACTGAGTTCAAGGGCCCTACTGTAAGTTACAGACCAAGTTTTTTCCCCATCGATTTCTGGCCCAAGCATGAAGTGTGCAGGGCCATAAATTGAAGGGGAAAAACGAGGATCCGTAACTTAAGAGTATGGACTGAGAAGACGAGGTTAGTAAGATATTTATTACATCTCTACTGTGTGTCTGACGCGTTCGGGAACGATTGCTATTCACACGGAACGGCTTCAAATTTCTGATGTACCTTGAGAGCAAAATGAGTCAATTTGAAATCACTTTTAAGTGACTCTTAAGTTGTTAGCAGGTTTTACTACACAATTTCAGAAGCAAAAGAAAGTTATAAACTTTTCCTTGCTATAAAAGTTAAGAACACTGCACAATAAATCATGAAACATTTTGGCAACAAAAACAGCTTTAAATTTTAGCTGGCCATACATTAGAATACGGCCACCTAAATTGACGAATCAAAGCGCACGTACTAACTGAGAGAGATAATAATACTTTTTCCTACATCAGTGAACAGGACACCTAAAAGACTGATTTAATTTAATTTTTAGCTTCAGTAGCTGCAAAGTCTGCAAAGGAGTATGCACCAATATTTGGGAAGTTTCCTTATTACAGACTCGGAAATATGCATCCTACACGTTGTGTCCTACCACAACGAAAAGTACACAATCTCTACATGTGATCCCATGTGAAATATTATACAGCACTCACATAGACTAATCTACGCATGTACTAAAAGCAAATTGCTTGTTGTAAAAATCATTTTAATGCCTCAAGTAGAGCAAGGGGTTTTTTCAAACAAGTATGTTACAGCCCTGTGGGTATAAAACGTTTTACCTAATGCACACAGGTACCTACCCACCC